GCGGTTAGACCCCGGCGCGTTCGGGAGCGTGACCCGAGCATCGCAAACCCTCTGCCCCCGGGACCTGGAGTCACTTCCGAACCGGGCCCCTCTCCCCGCCTGCCGCCCCCTACGTGCAGCCCCTTAGGGCAGTGGTTCTCAACCTTCCTAATGCCGCGACCCTTTAATACAGTTCCTCATGTTGTGGTGACCCCCAACCATCAAATTATTTTCGTTGCTACTTCATAACTGTAATTTTGCTACTGTTATGAATCGTAATGTAAATATCTGATATGCAGGATGTATTTTCATTGTTACAAATTGAACATAATTAAAGCATAGTGATTAATCACAAAAACAATATGTAATTATATATGTGTTTTCCAATGGTCTTAGGCGACCCCTGTGAAAGGGTCGCTCGACCCCCAAAGGGGTCGCGACCCACAGGTTGAGAACCGCTGCCTTAGGGGAACCCGAGACCCGGCAGGACGCCCTGGTCCCACCTGCCTCCCTTGATCTTGGACCATTGAGTGGGTTTATGCATCGCAACGGGTAGGGGACGTGTCTGAGCTGCTCTCAATTTCATATGTAACCCAGGGACGCTTCACTTCAGATGATTCCTTTGGAAATCAGTTGTTTTTTCCCCCAAAGGGCAGGCTTCTCCCTTTGGGGCCGCGGGCAGCTGGTGGGCAGGGAGTTGGTCGCTTCCTTAGGGACGCACCTGGGAGGGCGCCAGGTTCTCCGGGAACTTGATGTCTTCGTGGTCATCAAGTCATTTGCATAAATCTTCCAAGTTTCATGCTGGCTTTTTGTTTTTGTTTTTCTGCTTCTGTTGGCAGAGAATCAACATCTAATTAAACAGACCTAAGATTTTAATATCTTCATTTAGTGCAGTGGCCGTTATTTTTTTGCCGAGCGAATGGTAGACAAGGATTTAGGTTTACGCTGTTTATGTGAAGGTTCTTGTCCAGATGTAATTATAACTGATAACGGCCTCTTTGTGGTTAAACTACCCTCCCAGCCACCTGGGCATGAAAGGATGTAAGAAGCCAGACAGGACCGCGCTTGACTCTGTTACCAGGGCTCTGTGGTATCACGTTTCTCTATAGAGTTATTGGCTCCAAAGAACCGAATACTGACAACAATCACATATGCGTTAACTTTGTCCCTTTACCCAATCGCTCTCTACTCATAAATCACCTAATACTTAGTTAATTCTTTTCAGATGCTTACCTCTGACAATGGAGATGCATGAAAACAAATTAGAAAACTTTTTGTAAGCCCTATCCTTCCTATTTTTTGTTAATGATTAAGCATTAAATTTAGCATTTTTTTTTTTTTTAAAGATGACCTTCCTTCTCTTTCCTGATGGTGAATTAATAGCTGTTTTGACTTGGTCGGTCTTGCTGGGTAAACAGTTATAAGTCCAGACGTATATTTGGGAGGTGGAGAAATGCAGAGTATCCTGCCACTTCAGTGGGCGGCAGATATCATCTCCTTTTGGTTTTGCAGAATTTTATTGTAATTGGTCAGCAGGGCTGACCTTAGGAATTCTGTGACTCCTAATTGGAGAAGGTCCCTTTGTTGTCCTCAAGTCAAGTTTTGAGTCCCTTTACTTACTAATTTGAAGGCATCGCTCACTTATAGTATCAGGAGATTTTCTTTAAGTATTAAGTAAATGAGCTTTTAGATGCTTGGTTCTGAAAGTAAGGCCTGGCCTTTATGCCTGCTCTGCCTAACCTGGCACTGAGCTCTGGGAAGGCAAAGGCAGTCTGTGTTCTGAAGATTTCCAGGCCGCTGAGACAAGTAAACACACTTTTTTAACTGTAGTAAGATGTGATGATGAAGTTGTATTCTGGGAACACGTGGAATGACACTCTGCCCAACCCGTGAGCTCAGAGAAGTTCGGTTAGAGAATGCCTAACTGAAGCCTTGGTAGACTTTTTGGAGTTTCGAATTGGGGAGAGGAGAAGGTGTTTTAGGTAGAACAACATTTTTAAAGGCACCGAAATGGGAAAGAACATTCTCTGTGTGGAGAATTACAAGTAGTTTTTTGTATTACAGCTCAGATTGCTTAGCTCTCCAGGTTTTCATGTAAAATTTGAAGTGAGGACTGGTACCTGTGAGAGTAGATCGGGAAGGGCCTGTGGGCATCCTTTCCAGGGTGTTGGAGACTTCCGGATGGTTGGGAGCCCTGAAGGCTTTTGACAGTGTAGAATGTGGACTTCAAAGGTGCAACAAGGTGTGCTTAGGGAACTGCAGCTGTGTTGGAGACAGAGAATGAAGGCCTGAATTGGGGTAGAGGTGGTAGGATGGAGCAGACTGTAGATTTGTGAAATAGTTAAGCACTGAATGGGCAGAAAAGTTGGTGATTCGTTGGCTGTGGGATAAGAGGAAGAAACTAGGATAACTGCCAGGCTGCTGTTCTGGCCTGGGCAACTCGGTGGTATCTAACTGAGCTCAAGATCTGCAACAGCAGGTTTGGCGAGTAGACGTGGGAGAGGAGGAGTTCAGCTCAGACCTCCTGAGTTTGAAGTCTGTCCAGCAGACAGGTAGACACAGGAGATCGAAGATCAGGAACACACTCGAGGACTCATGTAAAGATTTGAGGACCCGGTGTGTTAGTTAAAACCGTGAAAGCAGATGAGATCAAAGAAAAGGTGTGAGGAAAAGAGGGCATCGATAGAGAATTCTGGGGAACCGCAGTGTTTGAGAGTAGACAGGGGAAAAGGAGAAAAATACAAACTTTAAGGTATTTATTTTACCCATATGACTCATCAAGGAACACAGGGTCATTTATTGCTGTGAAGATGAGTTGGTGGGTTCCAGGACCTGCAATAGAATAAAGACTCATTCTCTGGTATATACCTATTCAGAATGGCAATTCCAAATCCTCCCATGTGTCATGGGCTCTCATTTTCTGATGGAGTTTTTGGTTGCATATGGTTGATCTTTAATTGTTGTTTTATTTATGTCTGCATTTTTAGTGGTATAACTTTTTAAACTTATTTTTTTATATGCAATGTTTGAGAAAGATGCAGATGTTTCTTAAGAAACATTAGTTTCTTAAGAAAACTCTATTAGAGTCCTCTATTAGAACACTAGAGATGATGGTTCTCATTCTCTTTTTTTTTTAAATATATTTTATTGATTTTTTACAGAGAGGAAGAGAGAGGAATAGATAGTTAGAAACATCGATGAGAGATACATTGATCAGCTGCCTCCTGCACACCCCCTACTGGGGATGTGCCCGCAGCCAAGGTACATGCCCTTGACTGGAATCGAACCCGGGACCTTTCAGTCCGCAGGCCGCCACTCTATCCACTGAGCCAAACCAGTCACGGCTCGTTCTTTTTTGTTATTTTCTGTGAATTGAGGAAATTTGGCTTCTTTTTTTTACTCTTTATTTTGGACTGTGTAAATAATATATAGTAAAATTTATTATTAACATGCATTTTAGTTACATATTATCTTAATTTCAGGTTGGCTAAAAGATAGTTAGAGGATGATAGTAACCTGACATGGGCTCCATTTTCTACTTGGATAGGTTTTCCTTCCTCCAGCCCACCCTCCACAGTGCTACTACAACTATCTTGCTAAAATGTAATTCTCATCTGTCACTCCCTGCTTTAGAAAATGTGCAATAGCTGCTCATTGCCTAGAATAAAGTCTGCTCGCTTTGGCTGGACAATCAGCCTTCCATCATCTGACGCCCAGACTACCTTTCTCACCCTTACCTGCCACTCCCTGTACATATACCATACAGTCATCATCCAGCGTCTTTCTGGAATATCCCATGCACTTTCGTTACATTGTGCCTCTATATGGTCTTCCCTGGACACCTTTCTCACCATTTCTCCACTCACCAAAATCCTCCTCGTCTCTGACTTTCCTAGTGAACTCTTCCTCCCTACCTGAGTGGAATTAACTCATTCTGCCCTGGGTAGCAATTCAATCTATTCTGGGTAACAATTCGTGCATGTTCCTGTTCATCAATTATAAATAGTTATATCTATGTATTTTCTTTGACAGATTGTAAGTCTATCGAAGGTAAATACAGTGACTTGCCACTGGATCATTTGATAAATAATGAATTTATACAGAATGCCAGGCTCTGTCTCAGTCACAGTTTTTACTGTACTGGCAGCACCTACCACAAGGCTTGACCTATAATCATAGAATAGTTCAAGTCAGTCTTGAGGCCTGGCTGCGACCGTTATCAAGCCTGTTGGTACCAGGCAAGATCATACATAACATTTCTGATAATGTTTCAGACCAAGTTTTAAAATGCAGTGTTTAAAAAAATTCAGTGTCTACTTTTTAAATTTTTTGCTTTAGTCGAAGAAAAAAGGACTGAGCGTAGAGGAAAAGAGAGCCCGCATGATGGAAATTTTTTTTGAGACGGTAAGTCATT